GCCTCAGATTCTCAGTGCTGTGCTTTAACCCGCTGCGCCACCAGGGAGGGCCCGCTGTGAAGTTTTTTAATAATTATTTTTGTGATTTGGCAAGTTCCTCCCAAAAATAATAAATGGGAAAATTGGAATTTAATATGCAGTTAGCCAAACTCTGTATTCCTGAGTTTTCAGACTACTAAGTAGTCTGCTGCCCCATGTCAAACTCTTCTGTGGGTTAAGTTGACATTCCAAACCTAAGTTTGCTTTAAGTCCTGTGGCATTTTCAAACGAGTAGAGCTGGAGTTTGTTAACAGATGAACATGTTAAGAAAGTATTAAAGAGGAGGATTATACTTTTTCCTGTTAGATTACCAGGGTAAATTGCCAATAACTTTAGGCTGGGATAAAATTCGCCTGCGATGGCTATCTCAAGGAAAATTACATATTCTTGGATTTTGGAAGAGGTGGGCTTAGGAGTGGGCCTCCAACCAAAATCACAAAAGTGAAATTGTCTTCTTTATTTCAAAGAGAATAACAGGTTAACATTAGGAAACTAGATTAAGAGGATTGGAGGCAGGAGTAGAGTTATGTTTTGGTTCAGGGGCGGCGTCATAAGCAGGTTAATTACAGTTATAGGACAAAATGTAACTTATTTTCGGAGGGAGTTTTTTTTTTTTTTTTAAGATATATTTATTTTTGTATAGAAGAACTGTGGCATAGGCCACAGGTTAGAGGGTAAGAAGATTCACCAGAGACAGAGTGGAGCAGAATAGGTGAATTTACTGTAATAGCACTGCTGAGGGTAGCAGTGGGCCATGTCGGTTAACACTTTGGCCAGGGATTGAAGCTGTGCTGCAGTGGCTGGTGACAGCTTGATAGTGCAATGTCTTTATCCCTTGCGTCACCAGGGAAGCCCCCAGTGTTTAGGAGAGAATTGTTAAGTTGCTCTGAATTTGCAAGAAGAAATATTGTCATATAGTGCCAGTGGTGATCAAATTTCCAATATAGAACAATTACCTCTGAGCTTATAAAAAATACAGGTTTCTGGTGACCACAGGTATTCTGAGTCTGTAGGTTTTTAATGGGACTCAGCTCCCCTTCTCAGAGACATGATACGTAATTTTGATGTCAGTGGTCCTCACATTTTGTGAAATAGTGCTGCAGAGGCCAAATATTTTGTGTCCTAATTAATAGGATAAGTAAAAGCTATGAAATTGGGGATTGTGATGCACCCCCAGCATCCCAAGTAGTGAGTTAGGTATTTTGCCATTCATTATTTCATTTGATTCTTTGTATAAACTGCAAGTTATTTCTAGTTTATAAGTGAAGAAATTGAGCCTTAATTAAGGTAAATGACCTGGCTCAAAGTTACCTATTTCAAACTCCATTTCTGACTGAGTACGGTAATTTTTGTGCTATACAGCATTGACTAAAAGATCTAAAACTAGACCAGGAATAACTCCAGAGTAAAGCCAAAAGATAATTTTAACAAATGATTTTTTCCCATGTTTTATTACAACCTTAAAGTTACTAACACAGATATCATGGTTTTGTAATGTTTTTTGTACCTCGAAACTGATTTTGAAAACTACTTGTTTTTTTCTGAAATTCATGTACTAGTCAACACCTCCTTTCTCTGTTCTTATAAGCTGTACTGAGGTAATTACTTGATCCTTTCATACTCCATACTTTGCTCTGATAGCTGGCAAAGCTCATTGTTTTAAGTGACTTTTTTTCTTTGCTAGTGAAATGCTCTATTGTTGTATTCAGGAGAGGAAGAGTAGCTCTTTTAGTTTTTCAGGCTTCTCATTTGCCTTGACCTCAATGAGAAAAACTACCATAGTTACCCTTCAAATAAAAAAGCCCAAAGTCACCTTATTGTTAAATCTAGACCCAGGTTTAAAGTCACCAAACCATTGCCCTTCTTAGCCTCCAGTGTCAGAGTTTGTCTGGCATCTGCCACTGACCTGTCAGTTTTTAAGATTTTAATTTGAAACCCCAGAGTGATCTGTGTCTTTTGACTGTTTTAATTGGTTAACTTGTAAGATTTGACCTCTGATATTTGCTAACTTTTTATAGGGAGTTGTATTTGTAACGGAAGAAGAGAAGAATAAAAAATATTAGTTTTAAAAGTGGCCTATGTGACTGCTTTTCTAAAAAGGTATTTAATGCTCTTAGTACTTTGGCTTATCTCTTTGAAATAAAGCTAATACGCAGGATTGCCTTCACATTGTTGTACTCTTCCTTTCTTGATTGATAATTGCATTGTCTTAGAGCCTAGAAATGTTAATAATAGCTAAAACTATTTGGCTGCTCTATTAGAAGTTCCTTTTTTTTTTTTTTTATCAAGTGTTTCTCAAACATGTTTCTGCCTCACAAGGAGCCCCAGGTATTTATGAGGTAATAATGGAGTACCTAAGAGGCCTAATTTTGTGGACATATATGGTAAAATAAAATTTTGGGGTATTAATTTCCCAACTTCTTTCTTTAAAAAAAAATAATAACCCCATAAGAAGTCATTGTCTATCTCTGGACATCTCAATAATTTGCTATTACTTAAGCCAAGAAAGCTCTTTGGTTTGCTTTTATTCTAGGCTTGCTGTTTATGTAACCTAAACATTCCCCACTCTTATCTCCTGCAGGTAGACTGGGTACAATGTGATGGTGGCTGTGATGAGTGGTTTCATCAAGTTTGTGTGGGTGTATCTCCAGAAATGGCTGAAAATGAAGATTACATCTGTATAAACTGTGCAAAGAAGCAAGGGCCAGATAGCCCAGGACAAGCACCACCTCCTTCCTTCATAATGAGCTACAAAATACCAGTGGAGGATCTTAAGGAGACCAGTTAGCACATGCTGGGTTAGTTTGGGACATGGGGGGAAATGGACCATATTTGAGACCTAGTCATCAAATAGAGTGGCATAAATCCACTTGGAATATTGCTTCCAAAGACAAATGGCCTTCAGAGAAAGTCCTTTAGCTGACTTCCTCTTTGCATGGACTGTGTGATCTGCATTCTCTCTCAGCACATCTATGCAGAGGGTGTCTTCATTGGTATAGGCAGCTAGCATTGTGGTTATGTCTTCTCTGAGTATGATCTGCTACATTAGGGCCAGACATTTGATTGCGCTCTCGGGTGGCTGGCTGGTTGGCACTAATAACCTTGGTCTGCTAGCAAGGCGTGTAGGATGTGTGGCTTATGGCCAGTTGATATTAGAGGTTTACAACCGAGGGGCAGTACCATTTGAGGGTGTTGATTGCTTGAATCTCCTTAGTTAGTTGGAGAGGAGTCAGTATCACGTTTTCCTTCCACTGTCATGGGAACTAGGAGAGAAACAGGGCCCAAGTCACACCTGTTAGAACCATAGGATAGTAACAGTCTGTAGACATCAGCTTCTTACACTTGACTGTATCAAGAAGAAAACCCCAGATGAAGAGCAGACTACATGATCTTCCTGAGAGAGGAAGATGTCATCTGACATTTTGGATTCTGAGAAGAGCTTTTATTTCAAGACAAGGAGCTTTGAGAAATCTTGCTGCCATGGGTCTACATTTTAAACAATGCAGGTACAATGGATCCGAACTTTTGCAAAAGAAAAGAAGACATTAGATTGTTTTACTGAGCCACAGTGATGCATGCTTCTTGGGGGAAATCTTCATTCACAAGTATACCAGATACCACCAGGCTTCAGGCATGCCATGAGCAAGACCAGCAAATAACAGCTTTTTGCCTTGCAGCCCTGACCCCAATGTCTGCTGTTTGCAGTACTGGCAATTTCAGATTGTGACCCACAGCAGAGCTGCTGACTGACACCAGGCTTCATCGGGGATGTGGGGCTGTAGTGCCTCTGGGTGATGAAGTTGTTTTAGTAAATCCATTTTTAAAAAAAGAAAAGAGGACTTGTTTTTACTTTTTCTAAATGTCTCTGACTACTGACTGTTCTATAAATAGATTATTTTTCCTTTTTTAATATACATATATGAATATATAAATATATATTTACTGTTACCAGCAGCATATGAGAGTTTCAGTATCAAATATCCATTTGGGCACTTGCATTTTCTTTTTTGCCGTTTAATAAATCCCATTCCTTCCTTGTAGTACAAGGAGTTGGGACTTATTTATAACTCCGTCCTAGATCAGATCATCCATTTATTTGTGTTCATATAGTTAATTTTATTTCTTTTGTGTGGGGGGAATGTGTCTCTGTCAGAAATCTTGGTTTTACTAAATTTGTGATGGCTATTTTATTTTGTATGTGAATGTTTGAAAATATGGTGCTGTGTCCTTTTTTTCCTGTTCTCTGTTCTTGTTAAGGTGTTAGGCAAGCTGTACGGGAACTCTTTTGGGGGATTTTTTCTTCTCTCTCTTTTTTTTTTAAGGACAAAGAAAAAAACCCAAACAAACTGAAAATAGTGTTTTGTCTTCACTATATAGTGTTCCTTTATTTTGGTTTAAAAATCTGTGGTTTGAGTTCGATTTACCAGTTTTCCTTTTAAAGGGGGGTAGCAGGAGGGCCTAGAAGTAGCTTATAATCTCCTCTTCCCTATTTTTCCCAATCTCGCTCAAAGAAATGTCTTCTAGTAACTAGAAGTAAAATGTACTGTCCAGTTACAGTTAGAGTGGGTATGAGATTTAACTCAAAAGGCGCATCTTATTTAAAAAGCAAAACCTTTCCTGTAAAATTCAGTTTCTATAAATGCTTTCTCTGGTTCATACTGTTTTTTAGTCATTCTTCCTTAATATTTTATAACATTTTGAGTGTTTTGACCTGTTAAGAGGTTCATAAGCATTACTGTGCATGTCTCGAGATCTTTTCTCAAATGTATGTGTGATTTAAGAGGTCAGTGGATATTTCAAGGTAAACTAACCAGTTTAAATTTGCCCCCTTCCCCATGATAAAGATATTATGACTTAAGAATTCATCTGGTTAATGTTAAGAAAGCACAATATTTTTTGCCTTTTGGTCCTCTCTGTAAAAGTATTCTAACACTTGTGGGTTAAATTATGGCTGCCTGGAATACACACAGATTTTATTTTTCCTTCTTAGTCACCATTAACTACTCAACCATTAGTGGAAGGGCATGAGGATGCTGAAAAGGTGGTTGCTTCTTGAAGTATGGTGGGTAGGTAGGGGTGGCCATTTAGGGATAAGTGTGTCTTTGATTTGATATTTGCCTGCTAGAGACCTAAGAGAATAAAGACTAGGCAGTCTCCAAACATGAGTAACTTCCTGTATATATTTAACATTTTGAAATTTAAGTATATCACTTAATGTGGCATTATTATTTGGAAGTCACAGGGGACTTTTTGCTCTGACTCTTCACCACAGATTACCCAAGCTAAGAACAGATAAAAGGTTAGGGGGAAAAAAGAAAAATTAACACACAAACCTACAATTTTGGAATTGAGCTAAGATTTATCTGTCTAAAAATTTGCTGCTATTCTAATTTAAAACATTTTCAGCTAGAGAAAATTATTTACCATTTATTCCATTGTGTAGTAATATAACATTTTTGTATTAAAACTTGATTTAAAATGTTTCTTTACACTTAAAATCTCTTGAGTTGTAATTCTTCACCACTGACACTTTACCTTAAATGTTAATTCTTTCAAATGTATTTCTTAAATAACTTCATTATAAATGATTTTGTCAGATATAGGAAGATAAATGAAATTGGTAGGTCTTTAATAATCATTCTCGAAGGGTAGCTCATTGGAACTATGCAAAACCCGGAAGTTTACAAAGTCCAATTGCAGCATTAGCTGGCTTCTAAGGGGATAAGGAACATCTTCCTCCCACAAATGTTTATATCATTTCCTGATAGTTACTACGACAAAGCCATACTGAAATGTAGAAGCGAGGCTCTCTTGCTAGGCTGCTGGGAACGAGCTCTGTATTGCGGACTTGAATTTGTGTCTCAATACAGTTACAACTTAACTGCATCTCATACTTTGAAGAGTTAAAAAAGCAAACATTAAATCTGTGATGACCACAATGTACTTAAAAAATCAAAATCTAGCAAAGACTAACAGACCTGTAAATTTAGTGTATTTGCCTGTGCTTCACTTTTGTTCTCTGCTTTAGTCTTAAACAAGTCTTTGTTGTTCTTGATTTTTAGATTTTGGGTGCAATTCATATACAAAAAGAAACTATCTTTGTCCATTTTTTAATTCTATAGTATGTTGTGTGAATATCATCCTGTGCTTAAAATAGGAGGATGAAAGGAAAAACTGAGAAAACCCTTCTTTCAAAGGGTGCTGTTACCGAAATTTTAAAGGAGAAAGTGACAACTAGAATGGCATTTGAAAGTTGTGAATTGTAGAAAGACTAAACTCTTGATTCCTATATATAACCAAGTTCAGTAAAAGTTTACATGTGAACTAGTTTCATATGTGTGTGGAAAGTTGAATTTGCAGTAAGAACTTAAGTCTAAATCTTAAAAAGCAGTTGATCTACCTTTCACCTTTTCATTTTTGTTTTTTAAGTATATCATTCAGATATGAATGTGCCAAGTGATAGAGCATAAGGAGGAAGGAATGGGAATTCATGTAATTTGGAATTGCGCTCTTCTTTTGGCCTGGATCATATCCAGTCACCACTATGCAACCAATGATTTGCACTGGGGAAGGAATATGACTGGTTTTTAAAGCTGTATCCTTATTCTTTTGCAATACTCCAAGACGTCTAATCTTTTGTAAACCTCAAGGCCCCCTAATGATTATCCCTTAACATATTTATTTACCTGTTAGTGACGCTTAATATAATAGACCCTAATTTACCAGGGTTTTTGGTGGTGCCTTATGAAAAGTATAACTTGTTTTGTTTTTTTGAGCATGTCTTGTGTTTCTTTTGTTTACTGAAAAAAGAAATTAGATGTGGTTATTTGCATTACATAAAAAAATAAAAAATTGCGTGTGTCCAGGTTCCCCCCTACTCTGTCATTTACATGGGTGGTAACTATATGGTAACCAAGAAAAGGTGAATTGGGGGATGAGTTGAGAAAACAAGCATATATATGAGAGCCCCGTTTAGATTGTATCAAAGCAGTTTCAAAAATTGCATTTGCTCTCCAACTATAACAAAACAAGGCTCAAATAATTTTATTTGTGGTATGAGCAACCTATTCCATTGCTGGGAATAGTGTTTTCAGAAAATGTGACATGAAAGAAGTGATAGATGAAGATTTCACATGCCTGCCTTTCAGCATTGATTCAGTGGTGATCAACAGATATTTTCATACATTTTGATTCTTCAGCAGTTTATACCAGTGAAAATCTGGAAGTACTTTTCTTTTGGATTCCTAATGCTTAAAACTAGTTTGAACTGCAGCTTACTGCAGAGAATTACATAGTGCTTTTTTCCCCCTCATTGCCAAGGTTACCAACTAAGCAGGTGCAAAGGATAAAACAATTCTGAAAGTGTTAAAGATTCTCCTCGCAGTGAAATTGGCCTCAAGCATGAAGTGTGTGACTTTATGTTGGGAGGAGAAATTGGTGGGAAGAAGAAAAAAACTTGGAAAAATATTTTCATAATAGAAGATTTTAATTTTATTGGTAACAGTTTACAACATTGTATAGGTTTCAGCTATACAGTTATAAGAATTTTCTGACCAGCAGACACCTGGAATGGCATTGTTTTTAAAAATCACATGGGGTCCACTTGAGATCAAGTGTTTCATGGGGCTTTGGCATTGGTGTTGGCATCAACTGATTCCAGGAGATTGAACATTTGGAATCTATGGAAAGCTTAGTTAGCTTTTAATGGAAAAGTCACACATGGTGCCAGTAGAGAACAATGCAAAAGACTACAATCAAATATTGTCTGTTTTTTTTTTTAATTTTTCAGTTGTCTCTCAATTTCTAGAAGAAAGACCATCCCAATATAGTAAACTCCCATGAAATTTATTTACTAAGCAAAGATTCTCTCTAACCTTGTCTTTGGAGCTAAATTGGTTATCTTAATTGAAAAAGCACCACAAGAATTCTTTAAAGTGTTGCAGTGGTTCTTACTGGTGAGTCTAAGACCCTAGTGGGTTGCCAGTGACGGAAATGAAGACCAATTTTTCTGCCATTTGAAAAAAAAAAAGCAAGTGAACACTTCAAAGCCTGAATGAAGACTTCAGTATTTTCGTAAGGTAAAGAACACTCAGTTTAGGAATCAAATCTGAGTTTAGCTTATTAAGACCTTGTGTTAATTAGTAAGCTTTTTTGGGCCTTGGTGTCCTATGGGTGTGGATTGGTTCAGGTGGATGCAAAGACATTCAAGTTACAGCTTCTCTCCCTGAGAGAAGGTTTAAGACATGATTTTTGAGGATGTTTAATTTTAAAGTTTCTGTAGAAGTTAAAAGAGGAAGATGAGGGTATTTCAGACATGTAATTCTAAGCCCTACTTATGCTATTGAAGGAGTGTATAGCCCCTATTGAATATATTCTAATTTTAGAAATACTGGTCACTAACATTCATGTTACAGCTTACTCATAGTCTTAGTTGGCCATGAATTTTGCAACATTCATCAAATACTTAGGAATGCCCACGAACCAGCATCACACCAGTGTACGTAGTTGAACTCTGGAGGTGAGGCAAGAGTATCAGATATATTTTGATAGACCTAACTCTGCCTTTCCTTCCTCCAGGACTGATACCTGGTTAAGCCTGGGCCCCATTCTAACCTGGGCTGTACCTCACTGAAACTAGCAACCTACCAGGGCATTAGCAACTTTAGGTTACCCTGCCAGCCTCTCTACTTGGGACTAAGCTTTGTTGAAACACAAATTACATCACTAATAGTCTTTTGTAAACATAGAGTTACAATTTAAGCATACCTAGTCTTGTCGTGCTTAGTGTGTCTGATTATATAAACCACTCCAGTTAGAACATTGAGGCTGGTCTAATTCACTTTTCATCCCTGCCTTTAGAAGGCCATCCAGTCACTAGTTGTTTCCTTATACTCTAATACTGTTTAACTTGCTATCCGTTTTTTAAAAATTTATGCATAGAAGAGTTTGGGTGTAGGCCAGAGGTGGGGGGTTGAGGGTGTGGAGAGGAGTTAGGGTTCACCTGAGATGGTTGTGGAGCAGAACAGGTAGATCTACTGAAAGTGCTGAGACAGGAGTGGTTTGCTGCACCATGTGGGCCAGGTCTCTGATGCTTTGGTGGCTGCCAGTAACTTCATAGTGCTGAGACTTCACCCCTTGTGCCACCAGTGAGGCCCCTGCTGTCCATTTCCCCCCATTGCTTTACTCCACCAGTTCTTAGCATGAGACTTGTTTTGCCATTCCTTTGTTTCTCTCATTGGAATCTGCCTCCTCTAGGTCTATTTCAAATGAAAGGTAATTGTCTCATTTTACAAAGTGAAGGGATGGCACAGGGCCTCTTGCCCTATGTTCCTGACCTTCATGGCCACACTTGGAAGCCTCTGCTAACCAGCTGTATTGTATATCCTCATCACCATCCTCTGGTTATTCTGGTACATTCACTGAGGACTTCGGTGGTTCCTGGGCATCTGTGTGCCTTCACCTTGGGCAATATTGGTCATGATGATCTCACAGTTTGTAGATTTCCTCCAATAATCATTTTCACACCACTTAGCAGGCCCATTCCAAGGTCTTTCCTCAGATCCTGTCATAACTATTCTGGTTTTTAATGTCCTTTGTTCTCTTTCCTTACAGAGCAAGGCTTTTCTGACCTCAAAGAAACTAACTACATCACCCCCTTTTCCCACCATTTAGCACAGACTCGACTCATCCTCTCATTTCTGCATCAGTTTGGGCCTGCTAAACCTTATCTTCTGGTCAGTTTGCCATCTGACTTACTACCGTGTAGTACTGAATACAGGCCATGATTTGGTAGCACCACAAATTGACTCAAGTAGATAGATTCTCAAAGCAGTTTAGCAGCCCCAGTGGTCTGGAAAGCATTTCTGTTTTTGAAGTCATAATACTTTCATCTCTTAGCAAATCCTCATCTTAACCTCTTTTACCATAGCAGAGGCTTATCCCAACATTGAGGAAACTGAAGCTAACAGAAGAGCTTTAGGTTTTATACCACCAGCATCATCTGTCTCAGAAATAAGTCCTCTGGCCAAAACTATGAGTATATTGGAATTAGTCAGTCAGTGACACCTGTCCCATCTTAACTCCCTAGAAACCTTGTTTCATTACTTAGGCCTTATTTAATCATCTCCACCCTCTTCCTCACTTAACATAAACATGGTCATATCTCTCCTATTCTCCAGTGAACTCATCTCTCTTTTTGTAGTCAAACCCCACTTTTTCTTTCCACTTTACACTCAAATCACTCGACTGTTACCATCTGAAGTCTACCCTCAAAGTTCCACTGAAATTACTCTAGTTGAGGTTATTAGCCCATTTCATACTGCTGAGTCCAGTTGCCCCTTCAGTTCCTGCTTGGCCTCTCTAGTGTTTGATACAGTCTCTTTGAAAAACGCCATTGCCTTGTTGGTCACTACTGCATCTGAATTTTCCTTCTAATTAGTCTTTCTTTGTTTATCCCCTTAAGCTGGTTATCAGGTGCTCTTCTCTCTATACCCTCTTTAGATGCCTTCATCCACTTCCAGTTGCTTTTGCTGAGTTATTTTGCAAATCAAGTCACCTGCCCATGCTTTATTCTTCCCGCTCTTCAGTCAGCTGGTAAACATTTTATTTGTTTTAGTCTTTCTGAACTCTTGTCAAAAGCCAAAGTTCTCTCTCCCCCAGGCCAGTTCCTCTTCTCTGCTTCCTAGCCAAAGGAATAACTAGTTGCCCAAGCCACAATTCTGTGAACTCTCCTATATTCTTCCCTATGTCTCCCCATACACGATTAGGTGGTCACTAAAATCTTATAGTCGCCACTTCAATCTATATCTCTAACCACTTTCATGTATCAGTTCAAGCCCTTGTCATTTCCTACCAGAATTTTTGTATTAGTCTATTCTGGTCGATTTCTAGTTTCTCTTCCAAATTACTACCAGAAGGAATTATCTGAAGAGCCAATCTATTCATTCTATTGTCCTGTGGAGCCTGCCCCGTTTACCTTTCTGAGTTCATCTTCTTCCACGTATATCCTCAGGCTCTGCACTACAGACATAGATTTTTGCTTCCTTACTTTTGCCAGGCTCTTCTTTCAGGAATTCTCTTACTCTTTAGATGTCAGCTTAAATGCTCCTCAGAGGCCCCTTTGTTTTTTCACACAACAGCTCGGTCTATTCCTGTACGGAACTTTGCAGTGGATATATTTGTTTATAAATTCCATGAAGGCAGGGGCCTTGTTTATATACAATAGCACAATACCCTTCCTATCCTAAATGTCGAGTAAATGAATAGTGTTCTGTGCTGTTATTCCTCCCTATATATTTTTGCCCTTCTCAATTTATTCTTACGTTTGGACTGCTTTGCCTTCATTTACCCTTTCTCCTTACTACCTCTTCATTCTTTAAAATTCAGTTCATCCAAAAATTCTTCCAAGAAATCTTCAGATTTCTTCTCTTCTGTCCTTTCAGAGAGCTTTGATAGCATTGAGCTTATACAAAGGCTTAAGTGTGGGCTCCAGATCAGCAGGATCAGCATTCTCTAGGGATTTGCTAGAAATGTGAATGAATTCTTGGGCCCAACTCCAGACACTGAGTTAGAAACCAGAGTGGGGTCAACCACCTGTGTTTTGACAAAGCTTTCCAGGCCATTGTGACCCAATCTGAAGTTTGAAAGCCACAAAACTGTATTATAGTCAGTGTATTTATCTTTCTAGTTTCAAATATAACACCTACAACAATAATCATAAAGGTCATCCTTACAAGGAACTGCAGCCCGTCTTCCTGCAGCCTCACCCACTGATCCTCAGAGGTAGAGGATACAACAGA